CAGAATAAGATAAAGCCTGTGAAGAACATTTTGATCCTCATGTGGCAGTTCTTGATTCGCATTGAGATGTGCTTACCATTCAAGCACCCCCATAAACTCTTGGTTCGTCATTGGAGACTGCCAAATCTCGCTTCTAACAATGGAAGAAGCGTGTAGATCACAACCCTCAACTTAAGCAGATGTACACATGCAGATTGTAGATACGGTTGACCTTTCCCAGCCAAACTATTTCATCCCTCACAGCGGAGTGCGGCGTCCAGACAGCTCCACCACGAAGTTGCGCGTAGTATTCGATGCGTCAGCTACCACATCTAGTGACTTATCGCTCAATGATATTCACATTTTTAATTACAATTCTTTCATTTCGCCTTCACAGATATATTTTTACAGCGGACATATGGTTCACCCCAACGTTCGAAAATTTTAGCTGATATTTTGGAGATCTTTACCTGAGCACCCATTGTAAACTTATCAGCTCAATACGGTAACCTACGGAATCGCATGAGCACTATACGGCCATTAGGAGTCTTCGCTTTATTGCTTAACGAAGCCAAGAGCAGAATCCTATTGGTGCATCAGTACTGCTCACAGAGGCAGATTCCCTTGATGAGATATTGGAAAAGGTTCGTGAAGTAACTAATATTCTTTCGCAAGCAGGATTGGAACTTGAAAAATGCCTTAGTGAAACAATTTCTGAATTTCACATCAAACCACTCGGCAGTTTCATCCCTCATTGTATCTTCGTCAGCTGTATCTGGACAGGAGCACAGGATGCATTTGTCGCGTCCGTCTTGACAGCCGTAAGTACAAAAACTAAGACGAATTTTCCTAACCTAGAAAAATATAAAAATAATAGAAAAAGGGGTTCAGTAATCTCGCGAAGATGGTTAGCGTAGATTGTCCTTGTGGTCCACCCTCCCCTCAATTTGGGTCTGCTTCAATGATTTTTTCCGAACATAGTGGCGAGAGCTTGTTTCCTATGCGTTTGTTTGCCTTTAAGAAAACTTTTTCACCAGCTTGATAGCCCTTTTGGGTCCTATTTTTGTTTACCTGGTCAAGGGATTTTTCTTGAGCCTGTTGGATTCTAATTCTAATTCTAATTCTAATTCTGCTTTCGAAATCCGCGGGTTTTGAGTGAACAATCTCTATGGTTTTTTTGTTGGTTACCGAGTGGATAGAATTGTTGTATTTGTTGGTTGCCAAAAGAATTAGTTCGGTCGTATCGCTTAAGTTGCCCTCTATTTTCAAGCATCTGGCTATTTCTACCAGGGTGCTATGAAACCTTTCTACTTTACCGTTTGAGGAGCTATGTAGGGGCGGGGCGTTGGCGATGGTGATATTGAAATGATTCGGTTTTTCTGCTACCACTTGCTTAGATGGATGGCGTTTGTATTTTGCCATTGAACAGGTCTTGCAATTCAAAGGTGTCTCTGTTGCTAACCGAAGCATTTTAGGGAAAAAATAGTCCCTTGTGCTGCTCGGTGAGCCCTGTTGTGTTCTGCTATGACAATTTCCCTTTGCTCTGTTGTATCCGTTATGTCCTGCACGAAGCTTTTCATATATTTGAATGACGTGTTGGGGAACAATTCGACTAGTCAATGTTGAATAAATGCCAAGATCGGTAGGGAGCAATATGTTGCGTTTACCACCTCAGCATTAACTTAATCTTGTAAAGTGTTAAGCTGATTTTCTCGGTTAGAAATTTTTATTACGTGTCGCACCTTGCTCTTAAACAAGATTAATGTGTCAACAGAGGAGCTGTTTCCTTCCTCAATTACTATTTGGTTCCGGAAACAGTTTACTGGGTTGTCCGTCGTGTCTATGGTGTATGTCAGTGATTGTTCGCTGTGTATGGTTGCTACGTCTGATTCTATTTCGTCTTCTAAGACGTTTATGTTCTGGCGAGACAGCGCGTCTGCCACAAGGTTTTTTTTGCCAGGTTTATAAACTAATTTCGCGCCGTGATCGTCCCCTTCCAGCGATTTAGTCTCGCGTTAGGGTTTTTGTCCGAGACGGAAAAGGTAAGTGGCTGGTGGTCGGTAAGGATCTGCAAGCCTTTCACTCAACTTCAATCAACACCACGTTGCCTGGTTAACTTCCTTAGGAAGCGATTTCTTGTCAAGGGGAAAAGTCGCCTTAAAGTTGATAGAGGAGTCTGCCAAGGCAGTTGCCTTAGCCCCACTTTGTTTAATCTATACACTGCCAATCTTCACAGTTTGAATGACGAAAACTGCGAAAAGTGTCAATACGCAGACGACTTCTTTCTGGTTTGCTTCGATGCTACCCTTTTACGAGCAAGGGATATACCTTTAGAAAAAATAGCAGAGTTTGAAATAGAGTGTAGTGAGCTAAATTTATACTTTTATCTAACTAAGTCCAGAGTTATTCACTTTAATCTTCGCAAACAGCCGCTTCAAGTTTTTTATAAGGGAATTCCAATAGTAGCCGCCAATAATTCTCCATGCGCACACATTGAACAGGCAATATCATCTGCAAACAAAACATGTGCATTTTTAAAATTGCTTAGTGGATGCACTTTCGGGGTAAATCCCAGGAAAGGTCTTCTGCTATACAAAGCGTTTGCCAGAAGTAGGCTAGAATATGCATGTTTCTCATTTAGCAATATGTCCAAAACAGCTATGGATAAAATAAAAGTACAAACTAATTTCAGTCTTAGAGGCGTACTCGGCTTAATAAAGTGTTCACTGGTACCGATAGTACATCACATGGCAGCGGAGCTGCCCATGAGTTGCCAGCCAAAGATACACTTGTATCCAATAGTGAAATTAATACTAGTTATGCCAAATTATATAAAGACTTTAAACATATCCTAGATCAAGTCAAAATCTGTGATCCATTACCTGTACATAATAGTAAAAGAGGGGTAGACCTAGATTTCTTTAAGGGAACAGCCAAAAACAAATGTGATATAGGAAGGAAGGAGTAAATGGGAAATGAAGGAATAAAATGGGATCTCTTAGGAATAGGGACTTTGACATCATTTTCACAGACGGGTCAGTAACATATAGGTATTCAAGAGCAACGTTTCTAGTAAATAGCTCGAATTTTACAGCCAGTTTCTAAACGAACGAGATTTTGTTGTCTCTATCGGACGAACTGCTAGCGATTGACAATGATGCCTCAGCTGAAATACACAGATTAATACAGGAGGACTGGGACAAGGAGTACGCCGAATGCGCTAGTGGTAAACAGCGGGGTTACTGCGAACTCTTCCCAACAACGCTAAACAAACCTTGGTTTAACAACTTGAACTGCAACCTCAGACCTTCGGGTATAAAAATCATAAACAGATTAATGAGCGGTAACGCTTTTGACAATTATACTCTAAACAAAATGCACGTAGTAAACAACAACAGATGTGCCAGTTGCAACGATTTCGATAACGCATCGCACATCATATTCAGCTGTTCCAAATACAACTCTGCAAGACAGCAGCATCACTCGCCGCAGTCACTTTGGTAGAATTTTGGCCGGAGCCGGAGCGCAGTTTGAACAGGTGAGTGTTGCATTTGATTTGATTTTGTTAATTTTACATGTTTTAATATTCATTTTTATGCAGGCGCATCCCTCTCCACAGTATCGTCAGCTGGATCTGGGCAGGAGCATGGAACGAAGTTTTGGCTGGTAAGTGTGATTTTTGTTTTGATTTTTTTTTGCGTATTTGTTTTGATTATATTTTTTTATTATTATTTCAACAGTCTCCTCCCTCGCCGCAGTCGCAATAGCAGGGATTTGTCCAGGAGCCGGAAATCGTTTGAGGCAGGTAAGTAAAGTGTTTGATTTGATTTTACGTGTCTTTATAATTTTGATTTTTTCGCAGGCGCATCCCTCGCCACAGCTTAGTTCGCGGAATCAGGACAGGAGTCAGAAAACGCAGTTTTATCTAATGTGTTTTATGTTTGTATTGTTTTAATTTGTTTATTGTGCATATGCTTATTAATTGTGTTTATATTATGTTTCAATGTTTCGTCCCTCGCCGCAGTCAATTCAGAGGGAATCGGACAAGAGTCGAAACGCTATTTTGGCAGGTAAGTGTGGTCATTGATTTAATTTTGTTTTTTGCGTATTTATTTTAATTTTATTATTTCCACAGTCTCATCCCTCCCCGCAGTCAGACCAGTAGGAAGACAGTCCAAGATGATTGCGAATCGGGCAGTCATAGTCCAAGATGATTGCGAATCGGGCAGTCATAGTCCAAGATAATTGAGAATCGGGAGTCGAGACAGAAACGACCGCGGAACCGCGTTAAGTCCTCTACTGGCAAAAACAGTAATCGCGGAGGATCTATCTGAGTGATCGAACCTAGAACCCGATAGAAATATAACTTATATATCATGGGATCTACAACCATCTGACAACACGGCAAACGTGGTGAGCAACGTCGAAATTGTAGACCACAAGGAGGACATAACCAAAGTCTACAATGTTTTGTGCCTCATTACTGGACAAAACATGAGCATTTTTAAAATTGCTTAGTGGATGCACTTTCGGGGTAAATCCCAGGAAAGGTCTTCTGCTATACAAAGCGTTTGCCAGAAGTAGGCTAGAATATGCATGTTTCTCATTTAGCAATATGTCCAAAACAGCTATGGATAAAATAAAAGTACAAACTAATTTCAGTCTTAGACGCGTACTCGGCTTAATAAAGTGTTCACTGGTACCGATAGTACATCACATGGCAGCGGAGCTGCCCATGAGTTGCCAGCCAAAGATACACTTGTATCCAATAGTGAAATTAATACTAGTTATGCCAAATTATATAAAGACTTTAAACATATCCTAGATCAAGTCAAAATCTGTGATCCATTACCTGTACATAATAGTAAAAGAGGGGTAGACCTAGATTTCTTTAAGGGAACAGCCAAAAACAAATGTGATATAGGAAGGAAGGAGTAAATGGGAAATGAAGGAATAAAATGGGATCTCTTAGGAATAGGGACTTTGACATCATTTTCACAGACGGGTCAGTAACATATAGGTATTCAAGAGCAGCGTTTCTAGTAAATAGCTCGAATTTTACAGCCAGTTTCTAAACGAACGAGATTTTGTTGTCTCTATCGGACGAACTGCTAGCGATTGACAATGATGCCTCAGCTGAAATACACAGATTAATACAGGAGGACTGGGACAAGGAGTACGCCGAATGCGCTAGTGGTAAACAGCGGGGTTACTGCGAACTCTTCCCAACAACGCTAAACAAACCTTGGTTTAACAACTTGAACTGCAACCTCAGACCTTCGGGTATAAAAATCATAAACAGATTAATGAGCGGTAACGCTTTTGACAATTATACTCTAAACAAAATGCACGTAGTAAACAACAACAGATGTGCCAGTTGCAACGATTTCGATAACGCATCGCACATCATATTCAGCTGTTCCAAATACAACTCTGCAAGACAGCAGCATCACTCGCCGCAGTCACTTTGGTAGAATTTTGGCCGGAGCCGGAGCGCAGTTTGAACAGGTGAGTGTTGCATTTGATTTGATTTTGTAAATTTTACATGTTTTAATATTCATTTTTATGCAGGCGCATCCCTCTCCACAGTATCGTCAGCTGGATCTGGGCAGGAGCATGGAACGAAGTTTTGGCTGGTAAGTGTGATTTTTGTTTTGATTTTTTTTGCGTATTTGTTTTGATTATATTTTTTTATTATTATTTCAACAGTCTCCTCCCTCGCCGCAGTCGCAATAGCAGGGATTTGTCCAGGAGCCGGAAATCGTTTGAGGCAGGTAAGTAAAGTGTTTGATTTGATTTTACGTGTCTTTATAATTTTGATTTTTTCGCAGGCGCATCCCTCGCCACAGCTTAGTTCGCGGAATCAGGACAGGAGTCAGAAAACGCAGTTTTATCTAATGTGTTTTATGTTTGTATTGTTTTAATTTGTTTATTGTGCATATGCTTATTAATTGTGTTTATATTATGTTTCAATGTTTCGTCCCTCGCCGCAGTCAATTCAGAGGGAATCGGACAAGAGTCGAAACGCTATTTTGGCAGGTAAGTGTGGTCATTGATTTAATTTTGTTTTTTGCGTATTTATTTTAATTTTATTATTTCCACAGTCTCATCCCTCCCCGCAGTCAGACCAGTAGGAAGACAGTCCAAGATGATTGCGAATCGGGCAGTCATAGTCCAAGATGATTGCGAATCGGGCAGTCATAGTCCAAGATAATTGAGAATCGGGAGTCGAGACAGAAACGACCGCGGAACCGCGTTAAGTCCTCTACTGGCAAAAACAGTAATCGCGGAGGATCTATCTGAGTGATCGAACCTAGAACCCGATAGAAATATAACTTATATATCATGGGATCTACAACCATCTGACAACACGGCAAACGTGGTGAGCAACGTCGAAATTGTAGACCACAAGGAGGACATAACCAAAGTCTACAATGTTTTGTGCCTCATTACTGGACTCTTGATCCTTATGTTGATTCTGAACTACGGATGTACTACGGATCCTACGGATGTACAAGCGATCTGTGCAGAGTCGTCGGGAGCACGGACACGAGCTGGAGAAAGTCATAGCTGCCACCGCCAATTGGCCAGAAAGGAGCCAGCACTAACAAATCAACCCGTGCAAATATAACAATTACTTCATTATTATTATTTCAATTTCGGCAAAACAATCAACGACACCCATCAATAATAAACAAACAATTAAATGCAAGCAAAAGACCAAAGTTTCTATTTGTAATTGGAACCACTAGAAGAAGCCGCAGCTAGAAGTGCTACCGTCAATCGTCGCGAGTGCGTTTTCACTCTTCTCTTCCTCGCAATTCGTATCGCAATAAAGCGAATAACTTTTTCTTTTGTTTGTGAAATAAGACCAACAATTGCCCAAGAAATTACAATTAACATAACTTTTTTTATATAAATTAATCCAACACTTTAGTAATAATGTTAAGTGAATTTGCACTAATATAAATATATTTATGCTTATGTCTATAATTAATTTCCCAAACCCAAAATACCACAATGAGAGCTCTCGTCGATGGAAATAAAAAGGGGTAAGTGCGTTGCGTTCGACTTACTGTGTAGCAAAAGTATATAGATATATATATTTACACATATGCATATATACCTAGATCTATGTGCAACTTACTCATTTTGATATGTATCGAATCCTCATATTATCCATATTATTATTTTTATAAATTAACTCAAAATATTATTCTTTAAAAATTTATTCATTCTCAACAGTTTTATTATACGTTTATACAAATATTATATACACCGCGTAGAATATTTCTCAATTTAATTAATTTGACACCCTAATTTACCCATTTATCTGTCAATTTTATGCGCACCTTTTAAATGAAAAATCTTTTCAATAAATTTTAATATGAAGCAGAACTCAATAATGTCTTGGTAATCGTTTATAAAAGGGGGAGCAGGCGCAAATGGAAAAACTCGGGTCAAGAACAATGACGTAACTTTCGAGTGACGACATTGTCAATAGGGGATCACATTGCAGTGGCCGGCGGCGATACATCGGCATACGGGAGGTATGAAGGGGCAGGGTAAAACAGCCACACGCTGCCGATCGAAATTCAGTCAAGCGCTCGAACTAGCTAGTTGAGAAGCAAGCGACGACAAATGACAAAAAGGAATTAACGATCTCTATCTTTTCCCTAAGGCACGATAAATTTATTCTCGTTATGTAGGTGGAGGGAGTGGTTTCCAAAGAATCCACCCCATCCGGGGAGCTGAGCCGGCACCCAGCGTGCCTACCCAGGACGCAACTCCCTCGGCCCAAGTCCTTTGGACTGGGCACTAATACACCGACGTAACACTTCGTCAGCTGGATCTGGACAGGAGCAAGAGACGCATCTGTGGCAGATATGTGTAGATTTTAATTTTTATATTCGTGCATATGCTTGTTAATTGTGTTTTTTATTATGTTTCAGAGTTTCGTCCCTCGCAGGAGTCAAGTCAAAGGGTATCGGACAGGAGTCAAAACGCTATTTTGGCAGTTAAGTGTGGTCATTGATTTAATTTTATTTATTGTGTATTTAATTTAATTTCATTATTTCCACAGTCTCATCCCTCGACGCAGTCACACCAGTAGGGATTTGTCAAGGAGACAGGAAACATTTGAGACAGGTAAGTGTTGTGTTTTATTTGATTTTAAATGTTTTTATAATTTGTATTTATTTATACGCAGTCTCAACCCTCATCATAGCTACGTCAGCTGGATCTGGACAGAAGCACAAGACAAATCTGTGGCAGATATGTGTAGATTTTAATTTTTTTATTTGTGCATATGTTTGTGAATTGTGTTTTTTTTATTATGTTTCAGAATTTCGCCCCTCGACGCAGTCAAGTCAGAGGGAATCGGACAGGAGTCAAAACGCTATTTTGGGAGGTAAGTGTGGTCATTGATTTAATTTTATTTATTGTGTATTTATTTTAATTTTATTATTTCCACAGTCTCATCCCTCTCTGCAGTCACAACAGTAGGTATTTGTCAGGGAGCCAGAATGCGTTTGAGGCAGGTAAGTGTTGTGTTTATTTTGATTTCAAATGTTTTTATAATTTGTATTTATTTACACGCAGTCTCAAACCTCATCATAGCTTCGTCAGCTGGATCTGGACAGGAGCACCAGACGCATCTGTGTCAGAAATGTGTAGACTTTAATTTTTTTATTTGTGCATATGCTTGTTAATTGTGATTTTTTTTATTATGTTGCAGAGTTTCGCCCCTCGCCGCAGTCAAGTCAGAGGGAATCGGACAGGAGTCAAAGAATGCGATTGAATATTGAAGTGACAATAATTATGTTATAAAAAATAATGAAATTTAATTTAATTAAATAATTATAAGCTCAAAAATAAGTTATGATTCATCTAGTGCGCTGTTAATTTACGGTTTCTGTCTCTCTGCAAAAAGTTTTCTTGAATTCGTTTTGATTCGAAAAACAATAAAATAATTATGGAACGTTTATCAGTGCACATATAATATAATATATATTATATTACATTATATTATTATATAAAATATAACCCATGTCAAAGCAGGAATGCCGTGATTTCTTTTCCAGCCTGCCTGCGTCGGAAGATCGATCGTCCGCCAAGGAACCAGCTGTGTGAGTTGCTTTACCTTTATTTCAAATTACAAAAAAAAAAAATTAAAAATATTTGTGCCAATTAAAATCTCATAAACAAAAAAAAACATATATATCAATGCCGAAAATTTAAGAAAGCTATTACTTCTAAAATTAACTATGAAAAAAATGAATTGAACCAAAAAATGAATTTACACTGAGAATTTTTTCCTTTGAAAAAAAATTTAATTTTAAATAAAATTAAAAGTAATTAACTAGCGAACCACTGATGAATGATGAATTGAGAATGGATATTAATAATCATAAAAGAACAAATTATTAAATTTCCTTTGAACATAAAACTATTTTGTTTGAATAATCGTTGTTTTGTTTGATATACACAATACTTATTTTTAACTATTTTTACCACACATATGTACTTTACATTAATAATTATATACACCTGTGAAGCCCAGTATTTGCCGAAATTGTTTCACCCTGTCGTAAATTATCTAAGAAAGATTAAATATGTTACTAGCAGTAGAATTAAATATTGAAATGGAAGCTTACAAAAACTAAATAACTGAACTCATCTGATGTCTCTGCGGTCTTAGGGTATACAAAGGATCGCCAGGGTTATGCTCCAGCGGCAGGTGGTCATAGGTAGGGTGGGCAATATGGTAGCCAAATGACATCTAAGGCGTCGCAAACGACAAATTTCTCTCTCTTTCTTTTACTCTGTCCCATTTAAATAATTTCTCAATACTTTTCTTTTCTAAATTATGCATCTTTTCTTCCGGTTAAGTAACTAGCTTTTGATATTGTCGCATGCACGCTCAATTCTGATTTTATTAATAGAAATACGTAGACAGTGTCAAGATCTGTACGAGCAAGACCTCCACCCCCCAAGCCGACGAGCTAGAGCCGGAATATTTAGCGTGCCCAGCCAATACAGATCCTTGAAAACATTAAAGTACTTTGCACTTTAGTCAAACGTTACACGCTACAGTTATAATTTATTATTATTAATAAGAAAAGTGGCGCCCAATGTGGGGCCTTAATGAATACAGTTTAATTCATTGAGACTCACAGATGCATAAATTTAACAGTCTTTAACATTTTTCTTTACTCTTTTTAAAGTTCTTTCTTAAATTTTTAATTATTCCTGGAAAACAGATCCAGTGACTATTAGTATTTTTGACTGTCCGAAAATTATAAATTAACGAGAAATTGAAATCCAACGCAAAGCTACACTCCTGAGAATAAGCACCGAGGGCACAGGTTGTGGTTGCATTCTAAATAACAGGGATGCGACTAATCTGTTAGGTGAGGTGCCCCTAATACTCCACCCTAGGGATGAAATGACAGCCGAACTAATCTTCGAGCAGAACTTCACAGCACACCTAGGCAATAAGAAAGATTGGACCACATTGTCTGAAGTGCACCCGATGGCTAAACACACCATTGCATGGTACACAGATGGATCCCTGACACAACAAGGCACGGGCCTTGGAGTGGTAGGGCCTCGCATAAAACACCACGAATCCCTTGGCCAATACACCAGCATATTCCAGGCTGAGGTATGTGCCATTGGACGTTGTGCAGAGCTCAACATACAGCGTGGATACAAGGAAAAGGACATATCGATCCTTCCGAACAGCCGAGCAGCAATTACTGCTTTACATAGT